CTCTCTCTCTCTCTCTCTCTCTCCCTACACACAAACTCCAAACTACCATGAACGCACAAACGCTGAGGGCTCGTAGACAGAGCCCCTCAAGCAAGGTGGCAGGAGTCCACCACAGGTGCATCCACCCCTTCCCTTGGGCAGCAGGGTGCAGCCAATCCCCCTACACACGGGGCGGGGTTCCTGTCCACCCAACACATACACACACGCCGGGCGCGGCCGCACCTTGAAGCTCTCCTCGAAGTACTTGTGCTCCTCCAGGAACATGGCGTAGTTGATGACGATCTGGGGCGTGGCGATGCGCAGGTCCAGGATGCGGTCGTACACGGCCTTGGTGGACTGGGGGGTGGGGGTCAGGTGGGTCAGCACAGCCTGGGAAGCCACCTCTTGTGCCACCCCCGCCACGCTCCCCTCACCCCCCAGCCGAGCCAGCCCTGGGGGCTCACCTGGAAGGTGCCCAGGCTCTCCTCCAGGTCTGCCAGCATCGACCACACCTTCAGGGACTTGTACACGCGGTTCTGCACTGGCTCCGAGCCGTCGAAGTACTCCGCCCGGCGGGCAGGCAACGCTGTGGCCTTCTGCAGGGATGGGGCATGAGAGGCGGCACTCAGGCTGGCTGCCCCACCCCGAGGACCCCCAGCCCCCCAGGCCCCTCCCCGGGCCTCACCCGCAGCAGCCGCAATGCCTGCTCGTAGTTCTCGTGGCGGAGCTCCAGCTCGCCACACTCACACCACACGCTGGCCAGGTCGTCTACCTGCTTGAAGTTCACCTTGGTGGCCTTCTCCAGGATGACCCGGGCCTGCGGGACAGAGCTGGCTGAGGCCTGCCCACCCCACCAGCCTCCTCCGGGACCCACTTCGACACCCACACCCAGCCTAGCACCTGCCCCCTGGGCCCTCTGGCCAGGCCTGTCTGGGCACCCTCACACGTACGTTTCCACCACACAGCCACGGGTACCCCGCCACCCCCACGTATACTTCCACCACCCACAAGCACCTGACATCAACACAGCCGGACTATTGTGTCCCTCCCCAGCATCCGTACGCTCACACATACACCCACACGGACACACTCCACAACCCTGCCCAAAGACATTTTGAAAACTTTGTGGAAAACTGGAATTACAAGTTAGCGACATTTACCACGTACTTGTATACACATGCTTACAACATATGAGTACCCTGCACACGCCTGCCTACGTACACAGTCCCATGCATGTATTCAAACAAAGAACCACAGATCCCCCTCACACACGCCAAAAATACAAAAACATCCCCAAACGCACACGGGGCGCTCACATCGTCCAGCTGCCCATTGTCCTCGTAGAACTTGGCGAAGGAGACCCACAGCGTGTGGGGCTTGCCCGTGGCCTTGAAGGGGTCCACCGTCTGCACAGCCTCCGTGTAGGTGTTGATGATCTGGTGGGCAAGGGGCAGGGGAGTGGACCAGCTGTGGGACCGGGAGGGCCTCACGCACCTCTCGGGGGCGGCCCTGGTGCAGGGCCACGCGCTTGTGCCACTCGTGCACGTGGTGGGGGTTCTGGCGCAGCAGGACACTGTTGAGCAGCAGCGGCCGCCGGCTGATGAGCTGCTCAAAGCGGGCCAGGCGCAGCTCCAGGTCCACGTCGTCTGGGCGGGAGGGCCGGCTGAGGACCTGGGCCCCCACATCCCACCCTCCTCTGCTGCCCCTGCAGTCCCTCACCGTGGTCCGCCCTCCACGGCTGCCCCCACCAGGACCCCGCCCCGGCTCACCCTCCTCTTCGCGCCCCAGCTCGGACGTGGTCTCCATCTTGGCCGCGATCATGCTCTCCTCGAACTGGGCGTAGCTGTCGAACACCTGGGTGAAGTCGCGCACGGTCATCACCGTGCGGATGGCCTCCTCGTACACGTCCCGGGCCTGCAGGGCGGGGGAGGGCAGGGCGATGAGCGGGGCGGCTGGCCAATGGTGGGTGGGGCGAGACCCCTGTGCTGCCCAGCAACCGGCAGTGTGACCTGCCCCACAGCCCAGCCTGCAGGAACCTGTCCTCTCACTCCCAGTACGACCCACGCGCCCCCCCCGCCCCCCCCGCCCCTACTTCCACTCTCTTTCCCTGTGCCCTTGGGGGCCCAGTCCGGCCCTGGGAGCTGATGAGCACGCAACAAGGATAAAACAAAAAACGCCAGCCACCGAGGGAGGGGCCTCAGGTCAGGCACCTGCTTGGCACCAACACGTCATCTCATTGATCCCCAGCACAAGAACCCCCCCTCCCCCCACCAAAGGGGAAGCCAGCCTCAGAGAGTCAGAAACTTGTCCCAGGCTAGGGCTGATGTTGGGGCTTCCACGGCAGGCTCTCTCTCGCTCTCCCCACCTTCTAGAGAGCCAGCGTGCTCTGGGCACCCACATGTGTGTCCATGGCAGACTGAGGGCTATGCTTGAGGGAGCTGCACCCTGCCCACCTTCTCGAAGTGGCCACTGCGGATGTAGTAGTTGGCCAGCGAGCACCAGAGCTTGCCCAGCTGGTCGGTGAAGCGGGTGAGGCCCCCGCGGATGATGGCGTCCACGCTGAGGGACTGCACCTTGTCTGGGTTCTGAGAGATGAGGTCACACAGCTCGTGCCACAGCTGCGGGGATAGATCAGGGATCTCAGTGCTGTGCTGCTGGCCCGCAGCCCCACCCGCCCCGCCCCACCCGCCCCCAGCCCACCTGGTAGTTGGACTTGCCGGCTTTGGACACGAAGCGCTCGTCATTGACCACGGTGGCCAGGCGCTGCGCGGCCTCATCTAGCCGGTCGCTCGACTTGAGGTACTCGATGTATTCCTCTGCGCTCTCGGGGCTCAGCTGGGGGCAGGGGGGGGGGGGGGGGAACCACAGGTCATCGGTAGGGCCGGGGCGACATGGCCAGATGCCCCAGATGCCTCAGCCCCCTGCCTTATCCAGTGACCCCCTCCTTGGCCAGTGGTCAGAGCCTAGTCCAATCTGTTCAACCTGCCCACACTGCTCCAGCCCGGGCTGCCTCAGCCCAACCCAGTTCTATTCCCAGCCAGACCATCCTTTCAGCCTGGGTGGGGGCGCAATGATTTCCGGACATAAAACAGCCTTTCTGCACTTGGGTAACTGCACTCCAGCCCCGCCATTGGAGTCCGGCTCTCTGATCCCTGTGGCCACTGCTTCACTCCGGAGTTTCAAGCTCAGTGTGGCCACTCACTCTGTGTCCTCAGCACCCATCTCAGCGCTTGGCGTAGAGCACCCTGCTAGTGTGGGGCCAACTGAGCCCCAGGTGCCCCGCATGGTCAGAGGGGAACAGAGGGGCTTCAGGGCTGTGACCTCTCAGGAGCAGATCACCAGGGCCAGAGTTGGACCAGCAATATCTCTGGGGGTGGGGTGGGTTGGGGCGATGGTAATAGTGTTTGAATTGCTGACCTTTAGGTTAGTGATATAGTGTAAACTGTGTCCCAGACGGGACCTTTCTGATATGGAGCAGGTGCTGGCAGGCACCCATCGGGGAGGCTGGCTAAGCACTTGGCTGCTAACCGAAACGGTTCAGACCCAGCAGTTACTCCACAGGCGAAAGACAAGGCTGTTTGCTCCCGTAAAGAGTTCATCTTGGAAACTCAATGGAGCAGTTCTATTCTGTCCCGTAGGGTCACTAGCGGCTAGGTTTGGCTTGGAGTTGAGCTGCTAGCAAGTTTTGGGAAGCCAACAAGTGAACGACTTGGGCAGACACCAGCCCGTCTTGTGGCGTCCCTTTCCCACATCCCGTGTGGTAGGTGGCACGCCCCCTGCACTTGGTGCCTGCCCCGCCAAACTCACCTTGAGGAAGCGGCGGTAGCCTCGCACGGCTGTCTCCGGCAGTGGGTAGGAGCGCAGGAAGCGCAGGTACAGGGGCCAAATCCGTGAGTGCTGCGTGATGGGCAGGGCCCGGAGGGCCCGATCAAAGGTGCGGCGAGTGTGAGTGATGCGGCCCTGGTCCATCAGGAATTGGCAGTAATCGAGCCACAGCCGGGGCATCTACAGGCACAGGGGCAAGGCAGGGCAGAACTATAGGCCCTGCGGGCTCTGGCCATAGATGCCAAGCACCTCCTGGGCAGGCCAAGCCTACAGCTTCTAGGGGTACACAGCAGGACCTGCCCTCACAGTGCTGGGTCTGGTCCTAACAGGCTGAGCCCTCCCCCAACAACCTGACCACCAGGGCCCTTCCCTGCGCTGTGGAGGCCCCGCCTCCCACCTTGTGCATGAACACAAAGGCCCTCTCGTGGCAGTTGTTGACGTCTTCGTAGGCAGGGTCCGTCACACAGCGGTGCTTCACCTGGGCCCGGCGTGCCTTCAAGTACCGATACCAGAGCTTGTAGCTGGCAGGATAGGGGAGACACATGCTGTGTGATTGGACAGCCTTAGGGATCCCCCTAAGACCTTTCACCCTGCCTCAGGGTAGACAGGGCTGGGGGAGGGTATGTATCAGCAAAGGGAGGCAGGTGGGGTCTAGGACATCAGGAAAGGTACAGTGATGTGTCGGGCACCCCCACCCCCCACTGGATAGAGGCATCCCCACCCCCCACTGGATAGAGGGTCATCGCCAAGCACCTGCAACGGGGACAGGTTTGTATGTGTCACTGTTCCCACCTGCAGGGCAGCAGCTTGAGGGCTCGCTCATACAGCTGATTGAGCCTGGGCTTCGGGGCGCCCTGCTTGAACTCAATGTAGCGGAGCCAGCACTTGACAGAGAATGGGTTCCGCATGATCTCCTCCTCGTAGGGGAGGTCCTCTTCCTCCTGCAGGGGAATGGGCAGGGGAGAACAGGCCTAGCCCCAGAGTCTGTATGCAGAACCGAACCACTCACCCGATTAGGGTCCAAACTCTAGACCTTTCACCCCAGGACCCAGGATCCCACTGGCCACTGTCAGAGCCAGGTCACTAGATGCCCAGGTACCAAGGCTCTGCTGCGGATTTTCACTCAGCAGAGTCTACTGCCCATGGCCTCAGCAATCAGGCTCCAGGCCAGACATGAGACAGCCACCCTGGTCCCGCTGTCAGGCCTCTTCCCCGGGCAACACCCCTTTTCAAGGATGTAGGTTCTTGGGCCCTGATGATCCCATCTCCGCGGCATACCAGGCCAGGATGACCAAAAGGACTTTGACCATCAGAGATCTCAGGTCCAGACACCAAATCGTTGGCACTTCAGGCTCCCACCTGCCATGGTGGAGCTGCAGAAACATGGCTACGAGACCTCTGCCTCGGGAGGAGAGCTCTGAGTCTCTAACCGTAGCCCCAAGGGTCTGATGAAGCAGCCGCTAGGCCTCTCTCTACTCAAAACACCAAGTCTTTGGGTCTTCAAGTTCTCCCTGGCCACTGCCTGCCCCAGCTCCATCTCACATGCACATCGACACGCCTTTACCCTGAGCGCGAACGCTTTGGACCAGACCTAGAGTAAAACATCAAGCCTTCACCACAGAAACCAGAGCGCAACCCTGCGGGTCTCTCATTCAAGACTGTTATCCCTACAGTTGCCCCGCCCCCTCCCGCTACGCGGCCCCAGCCCCCCATCTGCCCCGACCCAGGAATCCAAGGCTTTAATTTCGACGGTAGCCAGAGCTAACAGCCACCAGCGCTCGGGCTCCGACACCAGACTTTATTGCTGCTCAGCCTCAGGGCTTTCGCCAGCTAGGGTGCCTCCGTGCTCCGACCGACAAAGCTCTGGCCTAGATCCTCCGGTGGTCAGGTTCAGATCCCCCCGCAGCATCCAGACCCCCAAACGCCCACGCGCTCCACCCCCGGCCCCGCCGCGAACTCACGAAGACGAGGTCTGGCCGCTCGGGCCGCGAGACGCGCGCCATCACCACCATTTTCCCGTATCTTCCCGGACAGGCGAAAGTCGCGTGCTGATGACGTCTACCGTTGGCGGCCCGCCCCTGGGCCAGAAACCGCCTCCTATTGGCTGAGCTTTTTTCTAATCGCGCAGCCCGCGGTGTTGATCTTCGCGACGGAGCAGCCAGCTACCGGAAGCAGAGAAGAGGCGCTCTAAGATCACGTCATCCAAGGCCACCTTGACCAACCAGCTGCGGCGACGCATCCCGCCAAACGCCAATGAGCTGGTGTTCTGTTGGAGGGAACCGCTTTGGGCGGAAGCGACTTCGGAGACGACAGAAAGCGAGATGGGGGTGAAATTGGAGGTGTTTCGGGTCAGTGAGCTGGTAGCCAGGGGGAGGGAAGCTGGGCCGGAGCCGGATGTTCCAGGGTCTGGAGAGGAAGCTCTGGAAAAACGGGGCTCCAAAGAGGGGACTCTCGGTAGAAAGCACTTGTGATTAGAGAGGGACTTGTGCGAGAGGAGGGGTTCTGAGTCGGCAGGGCTCGCAGTGGATTTGTGTGCAGAGCGGACTCAGCTTCTCTTTGACCTGGGGAGGAGGCTCCGAGAAGGAAGGCTTCAGGCACCGTCAGGAGCAGGCAGAGGGCATCTCCAATAGGGAGCTGCTCAGAGAGGGGTTAAAGATTAGGACCTGAGTTTCTGGCATGCCCCCGGCCTCGGTTCAGAAATCTGAGGGCTCTCCCTGACAGCGAGACGATTCCAACCTGTAGCGCCAATGCACAGCAGGGTAGAGCTGCCCCCGTGGATTTCCAAGGGTGTTCACCGTTACAGGAGCAGAAAGCCTCATCTTTCTTCGGCAGATCCTGCCTGTAATTGCAGGAAGGGGGTCTTGTGCTCTTGGGCCTGAATGTATATGTATATGTATGTGTGTGTATAAATACATGTATATGTCTTTGAGAGTGGGATTCTTGTGTGTGTGTGTGTGTGTGTGTGTGTGTGTGTGTGTGTGTGTGTCTGCCTTTGAGAGGGAGAGTCTAGACTCTAGAGGGGACTTCTAGGGAGCAGGTGTCCAGGGTTCTGGGGGCTGGGCTTTGAGGGGGCTAGCCTGTGTACTCCTGTTCATTGTGACTTTGTTGTTGGTTTGGGACATTGGAGAGACTGCATGCGTGGCAAGCAGGCTAGAATTTGTTCCTTGGTGGTTTTGGGGGGATTATTTTTGTTTTAAAGAGTACTGTTGGGATTTGAGGAGTCCTGGTGGTATAGTGGTTACCCGTTGGGGTGCTAACTGCAAGGTCAGCAGTTCAAAAGCGCCTGCCACAGTTCAGGAGAAAGACTGAGCTTCCTACTCCTATAACAAGCAACAGTCTTGACAACTCACCAGGGCAGTTCTACCCTGTCCTAGAGGGTCGCTGTGAGTCAGCATCCACTCGATGGTGGTACGTTTGGGTTGCTTATGGGCATATAATCCACATATCATACAACTTAATAGTTCAGTCATATAAAGAAATGTACAGTCATCACCACAACCAGCGCCAGAACATTGCATTCTTTCCCATACACGCTGGCGTTAGCGCCCCCATCGGCTACTCTTGGCTGTGGACTCTGCCAGGTGCTCGCCGCCAGGTCGGTTTCCCTCTGCTGTTCGGCTGAGTGGGTTTGAACAGCCGCCTTTTGGTTAGCAGGCAGGAAAGAGCACGCCATTCCCACCACCCAGAGACCTGGAGGCTTTGTCTGCCCAGGTGGGATCTTGGAGAGAACCTGAGAGGAGGCACCTCTGGGCCCTGAGCGGCATGTGCTTGTGCGTGCACGTGCGCTAAGTAGACCCACCGGCTCCTCTTGCCCGCCCCCTGCCCTTCCAGATGTCACTCTACCTCACCTTCCCTGTCGCTATGTTCTGGATTGCCAACCAGGCCGAGTGGTTTGAGGACCATGTCATACAGCGCAAGGTGGGCACAGGTGTTGACTCTGTGTTTGCTGGGGAGGGGTGGGTGGGCAGGGGATAGGGTATGGGCCACCCACCCTCTGGGGTCCCTTGTGTGCCTCCATGAGCAGACCCAGCCTTGGGTGTGGGGGCTCTGGAGGCTCCCAGCTCACGTCTCCACATGTGATTTTTGTCCCTGCAGAGGGAGCTGTGGCCACCTGAGAAGGAGGGCCAAGTAAGTGACGGAAGGGATGGGATGGGACGCGAATGACCTAAAGCAGGGGGGCAGTTAAAAAAAAACCTCTAAGCCTACAGCTGTTGTCCCACTCAGAGCAATGCTTCGGCCCAGAGGAGCACTTCTCCAAAGGGCTCCCAAGGCTGTCCGTTGAACAGGAGCTGGAGGGTCCCAATTGCCCACTTGTCGGCTCCCTGTGGAGCCCTGTAACCACCACGCCACCAGGCCTTCTGGCAGAGGGGCCAGTGCTTCCATAGCACCTTCTCTCAGAAGGGTGCTTCTAACCCTAACGGGGGCCTGCGTATCATTGGACGGTGTGTCCAGTGTAGCCCATGGCCGCCTATAGGCCTGGCCTGGGGAGGGGTGGGTGGGAGAGGGGGTCCAGGCCCTGAGGTGTGTGCCCTTCCCCTTCCTTTCTGTCCCCCCCTCCTCCCCTGCCCCCCCTCCCCCTTCCCCAGCGCCAAGAGCTGGAAGCGTTCAAAGAGCGGATCCGGAAGCAGCGGGAGGAGAAGCTCCTGGGGGCTGCTCGGCAGAACCCCTGAGGCCACCCAGCTTGTACCCAAGCCCTTCCCCGCCACCCCCCCCAATAATACACATCCTCAACCCTGTCGCTCGAGGAAATGTTTTATTCTTTGCTTTTGGGGGCCCTCGTGGGGCCCATGATTACTCGGCTCTCAGGGGGCTTGTGTCTGGGGCTGGGGGCTGCTGTTCCGCCGGAAGCTGAGAGCAGACGGGTCCTGGGGTGTGAGGAGGGGCTGGGGGCTGAGGGTGCCGGCTCGTTTCTGGGCCCCGTCCTGTGGGTGAAGAGGGGTGAGCCGGGTTGAGGGATCCAGGCCGGCGGGGACACTGACATTGGGCATGAGCCCCCACATCCCACCTCCCAGCACGTTCTGCCCCTGCTGCCCCCGAGCTTGTTTGGCTCTGTGTTCGTCTCTGTTCCTGCCACTCTAGGCTTGGGGAGTCCCACGAGGGTCTTGATGGAAACTGAGTATGTGTGCTATCGATGTACACGCATGTACAGGGCGTGTGTGTGTCCTTGTGTGAACTCCCATGTCTTCCTCCTCAGGGGTCAACCCAGGAAAGGTACCTGCTCTCTCACGTCACCTTCATGCCCCCACCCCCTCCAGGCCGGGTGGCAGGGCCTGTGAACCCCTCAGTCATAGCTCTGTCATCACCATGCCACCCTGCTGGACCAGGGGTCCCCGGGCAGAGCCATGGGGGCTGGGGGGGGGGCACTTTTATCCCAGCTACCCACCCAGGCGCTCCCTCCCCACCCCGGGCATGGTGAGGGCGGGGCCCTGCCCATTCCTGGCTGAGGGCTGGGAGGCAGGGCTGCGAAGTAAACCCCGGCAGGAACATCGCCCACCTTGGGCCCCATGGGCTGGAAGCCAGGCATGGCGCTGACGGTCACCCGCTGGTCATCCATGCGGCGACCCTGGGTGCTGGCCAGCATGTCCATCAGGCTGTCCATCTCAGGCGCGGGAGTGCCGTCTGCAAGGGGTGGACTCCTTGGGGGTGGATACAGACTCCAGAGGACACAGCCGCTGCCCTCCCCCATGTTCTCCAGAAAGCTCCCCCTCCCCATGCATGTTCACCCCCGCTCCCAACGGCACACACAGCACCCCCCCCAACACTGCTGGCCCCCAGACTCCTGACAGCTCTTCTCCCATAGTAGATGCCCCCCATCCCCACTGCTCGCTCACGGCTCTCGGCTGCCGGGCCTGGTCCTGCCTGCAGCAAGCAGCGCTGTTCCTCCATCCGGCCGCCCTGCACGTGGCTCAGCAGGTTGAAGAAACCCTCCTGGTCCTGGGAGCCCGCCTGTGGACAGACAGGTGCATGGTCGTCCTGGGCTCCCCGGCTCCCCAGTTCCCCTTGTGGTCAGTGGCTCCCACCCTCACCCTGAACTGTCCCTCCTACTGGGCACTCACCATGGTCACTGCTGCTCAGCTGCCTTGCTCAGCTGCTGTCGCTGAGATGCCTCCTGGCCCACCTGTCCCCCCACCCCCACCCCGCTGGCCTGCCGAGCCACGTGGTGCCCCTCCTGGGAGAGCTGCCGGCTGCCCCGTCCCAGATTGATGCCTGGGGGCTGGGATGTGGACCGGGGTGGGGGGTGGGGCACCCTATGTCCCAGCCCCCCCACCCCACTGAAGGGTCGGCTCTCAGGACTCTGAAATGGGCTGGGGCTGGGCATTCGAACTCTCATGCCCACCAATTGGGTCAGGGTCCCCCCAGGGACTTGCTTGCTAATTAGGTAGATAATTAGTCCCTTCAGTCGGGTGGGGGTGGGGTGGGAGTGAGGGCTTCTCACCTGGGTGCCTTGGGCCCACCCCCTATCCTCTGCCTTGTCCTGGGCCATCACGGCCCCGCTACTCTCTCTGTCCACTGCCCTGCTGGCCTCTGCCCCGAACCAGGCCCGAGAAGGCTTTTTAAAAGGCTGGGAGATAAGGGAATGGATCAGCTCCCAATCCCCAGCCCCAGCCCCATCTGTTCCCACCCAAGCAAGTTTAAGCCCCGTAAAGATGATCCAGATCATTGCTGCTGCAGGAATTCTGGGCCTGGCAAGGGGGAGTGGGGGTGGGGGAGTAGTTTGCCCTGGCCTTGGACCTGGCTGGAGCCCAGGGACTCTCCGTTGGGGTGGGCTGAGGTGTAGTATAGGAGGCCAGGCAGTGTCCTCCAAGCAGGGAGGTGGCACCTGGGCCCCCCTGCAGTCCACTGTGGGAAGCTGAAGGGGCAGTTGTCTTCTGCAGGGGTAGATAAAGGCAGCTGGACCCGGACCCCTCCTCTCACCCATGGAAGATGCACCAGCAGGCCCAGCTCCTGTTCTCTGGTAGAAATTCAAAGTTCTCCTGCCTGCCTTTCACTATTCGTTCCTGCAGCAGGCGCCTGAGGCAGCTCAGCGGGTGCCCTGGAAGAGCCAACTGGCCTGTCTCCTGAAGGTGAAAACGAACAGGGGACACAGATTGCACCTTGTTGAGCCCGCCTTCCTGGATGCCAAAGTCTGGGGCCTGGGAAGGGAGCCCAGGAAGTCCACGCCCCTCCCCTGAGCAATGACAGCTCCCCTAGGAGAGGGTTCCCTGGAGAGGACTACCCCCACTTCCACCCCACCCCCACAAAATATTTTTCACAAAGCCAGATGGGCTTTCTGCTGAGAATTAATGGGGCGGGGGGGGGGG